ACAAGGAATAATAAATTAATCATAGAGTCATAAAAATAATAAGTTACATCTGTAACTCATCTAGTTTACCTCTCCATTCAAAGCAGATACAGCTTAAAAGTTATCTCAGGGTCTCATCTAGTCAAGTTTAGAAAACCTGCAAGGAGCTTATTTTGTCCTCCCATCCTAGTTCTGTGTCCTTTTAGCTTTCACCTTGAATGGGCCACAAACATGAAATGTAAGGGCTGTAACCTAGCTTGAAATAAAACACAAAAAAATCACTCAATCCTGTGAACAAAACTCCATGAGTCTAAAAGAACATCATTAAAATCAATAGGTATATAATGTAAAGTTAAAACTCCTAGCTATGTAATGTAAAATATATAAATATCATGTTTATAAACACAAGAAATACCCATTGATTTGCACATAGTGTATCTAAACTATTGATGAGACAATATAAGGGATAGCAAAAGAAATTCTTCATATGGTGGACCCCTCATTCTGCCACAGCAGATGAGGATTCTTGTTTCTCTAGTCCATAGAAGTGATTTTCCATCCCTGCAAATTGGAAGTTTCCTTACCTTATAAGGAAACTAGCACCATCTGTGCTGAATATCCAGTGCTCTCTGCACTTACATGTGATGGCTGACCCTTAATTGTCTCATTCAAGGAAAGAGAATCTGTCTTTCCCATCACAGAAGAGAGTCCAAGCACCTGATTGCCGAGTATCATATAAAGGCGCAGGTTCACTTGGTGTAATAGTTCACTGTACCAAAGTAAAATTTAAATTGTGTCTTGCTTCGGGGCATGTTATTATGCATAGTGGTTTTTTGTTCCCCTTGATCAGTGTACACTGATCTATCAATGTCTGTGGTGTTAAGAAGGTAGGGAACTTTGTTGTGCCCTAACAAAAAGGCTGATGGTTGTTGAAAAATATCCAAATACATTGATCATTACTACATGGGTATAAAATTACTGGGTCTAATAATTAAGCTAGTAGCTGAACTATGAGGAAAAAAAAGGAAATGCAGCTTTCTTTCAAATAGCAAAACTGAGGAATATGTTACAGGTTGAAATATATGAAAACAAAGCTGTCATTACTAAGGATTTCTGAGTGAAAAAGGGCAGGAATTATTAAAGTGTGCTTTAAAAAATGTTGGATTTCCATCAGATTACCAAGTAAGGAGAACAGTTATTCACAATTAATCAGATTTGGATTTCTAAGGTTTTCTTTCTGTATGAGTTCACTGAGGTGTAAGTAGTGGTTGCATGTAGTTACATGTTCCAAATGTTGCCAGCTGTAAAATTGAATTCTCGTTCATTGAAGATAACAACTTTTTTGATATGTCATGTTACCCTGAAAAGGAAAATAAACTCATTATTTGGAAATGATTAGATAATAGATACTTGGAAAAAAAATACTGGTTGGAAAAAAATTTAAATGTTTCATCTTCATAGCTTCACAGTTTGGATTTTTTGCCTGACCTATATTTTGCAGCTTCCCGTTTTAGTTTTCTGGTGCGTGAATTTTCAGGAAGTCTAGTCTTTGTAGAGTGGAATTTAGATCTTGAGGCAGGCACTGTATTCTGGCCTGCTGCTCCATATAAGGACTGAGATGTTTTTTCTCAAGAAGTATCTGCGAACTAAGACAATATGAGGATATAAATAATTAGGGAAAAAAAAAGGCACATGTTTAACTCACAAAGGCACTTACACATAATACTTTATTTTTGATTTTTCCTTGTGAAGTCTTGGTAAATACAGCAAAAATGTAGTGCCTTCAGGATCGATATGTCGAGTCATTGAAGCTGTATCTTAGGATTTTAACGTCTGTGCCTTGCACTGGCTTTACCTGAAAATGTTTCCAGATGGTTTTCTGTATAATTGAAAGCAATATTCAGTGTGAATGAACATCGTCTGATATTTGAAGGTACTACTTTCAGGGATGCTCCCTCCTTAACTCCTGACCTGTGGCAAACCCTAAAAATACTAGAAGTATTAAAAAAGATTATTCATAATATTTTAAAATGGGAACCAAACTGAAACACAGAGTCTCTTCCTTTACTGTACACTAAGTATGGTCTTTAGAGGAGTTCAAAACCTGCTTGTTTGGGTTTGATTTCTCAATGACAAAAGCTTGGTAGCTGAAAAGATTCAACAGAAAGTGTTTTGTGGTTTCCATGGACCCTCTGCATAAATGTTTTGCAATTTTAAATGGCCCTCTGTATTTGTGACTGAATACTTCTTGTAGATGGATAAAATTTAATAATCAAAATCATATTATTTTTATTTGCTGTGGGGTTTCTTCATGTCTTAAACAAGACTGTTTGTCCTCTCACTTTGCCTGAGGATACATCTTGCTACAGCTGTGTGATTAGATTTTAGGTACATGCAGTTGAAAATAAACCAAATTATCTAAAGAAATGGAAAGTAGAAGTAATTTGTGGTTAGCACATAATTGTAAACCCAGAGATGCAGAAGCCTGAAACACTAATTGTTTAATTTTGGGGATGTAGCACCTAATCCTTAACAATATTTTGAAGATGAGGTGTTTATTAGTAAAATTCTCAGAAATCGTAAGAATGCTTTAATACTTTCAAGTTCGAGTATTTCAAAGTCAATAAAGCCACCCCCATATATTATCTATATACAGACAATCTAAATATGTCTTGAGTATCGTGTACGGACATCACAAGAATAGGCACAGGATATGTTGAACAAATTTAGGTAAAGGGATGAAATGTACTGTTGGTTTGTAAACTTCAAAAGAAAGCACTTTACAAGGACATAAGAACCTATTTAATATGCCTCTATTAAATATTAAAAATATGTATGTTACATGGTGGCCAGAACATGTATAATTTTAGTCTTTCTGAGAGTACTCTGACAGTAAGAGCCCAGTCATTGTTATGTGACAGAAATCAGCTGATGCATTCAGCAGTTTTACATGTAGTCATGTCTGAAGCTATAATTTTCATTTTCATTGAAGAAAGGGAATTTATTTTTTTTTTTCAGAAATGGCAGATTTCATGGGGCAACATTAAATTTCCTAAACAGATTATTAATGGCCAATATCAATCAAACAGGCTGTATAAGATGCTTGCAATATTTCAGAGCCAGCTCTTTAGCATGTTGAAGCTGTGCTTTCTCACTACTATTTTTTCTCTGTAAATAGTAATACTAACATTCATCATTCAAGAATTAGTAAACTACAGTAAAATTTGTAGTAGTAGTGTAAAAAAAGCAGGACAGTTTTGAAAACAGTGAATTTCAGGTTCCTGTTGCTAGATTTTTAACAACGAAAGTTCAAGTTTTCATATTTTGTCTATCATTATCTGTAATGGAAAAATGGAAATTTATTATTATTTACATTTCGATCTCCTTAAAGAAACAGTTTGTTTAAGTGTGTGTCTTTCAGACTTTTCCTGTCTAATAACCTGGCTAGTCAATCTGAGATGGATAGAGATCATTAAACTTCTCTAAGTTTCACATGACTAGATGAGCAGGTGAATAACAAAGATAAATATCTCAACATAAGGGAAGGCTGAAATTATAGACAGGTGGCATAACTATGGGGAAATACTTGCAAGGGACATTGTAACTTTTTGGACAGCAAAGACAGTCCTAAGAAAATCTGTAAGAAATCAGATTTCAGCTTTTCCTGTGCCCACATAAAAGTTCAGTATAAAAAGCTGAGATTCTTTATCACTTGCCCTCTGGAACACGGTCTTAATTTTGCATCTTGCAAAAAAAGGTGCAAATTAACAATGTCAGTTTTGTGGAAATCCATGTCTTTGACATATTTTTAGTATTTTTCGTGTTCTTCTAAACAACTGCAGCTCCCTCTGGCATGGCAAGAAAAGATCTTGCCCTTCATATACGATCATTGATTCATATAAGACAAAAAGGAAAATAATACATGAATTTCAAGAAATATAATTAGTGTGATCACTCTAGAGTTATTTCCCAGAAGTTCTGGTATTCTCTTTTCATGGTCTGTTTGCACAAATCTGTCTTGAATGGTTAGCTGAGCAAGTCTTAAGAACAAGGTGCCTGGGTCTACCAGTAAAGTCCCTGTCTTCATGGCATCGATGGTTTGGTCATTAATATCTTCTGTATCATTCTCTGTGTGTGCAGAGAGAGAACTTAAGAGAAAATAAAACTGAGAGTATTACTCATATATTACCTGTGAATCTTATGCAATCAATATTGTTTAGCTCTAACTTGGCAGGATAGCTCATAATAAATATTAAGGCTTCAGAATATCTTTTTTTAATACAACATATATACTTCATACCTAAACCCCCAAAACATACCAAGTAGTGAATAAACAGCCTCTGAATTAACTTTCCAAAGATTCTCCTTCAGTGAAAGTTGAAAATAGTGTATTCTCAGGTCATATAAAAATTACAAAACAAGAATTTGACTGGTCTGCTTGAAATGTTAAAAAAATACTGCAGAAGAAAAAGCATTCTTCTTGGCAACAATATGTTGCCTAGAAAGCAAGTGTCAAACTCTATAATGCATGAAACACAGGGGCATTCAGGGAGTTGTGTTGGTAGTTGCCATAATAAAGTATGAGATTCACATAAATTTCTTTTTTAAAATATGATTCAAAATTTAGTCAGAGGAGAACATAGATCAGAACCCCCTGTCAGTGACTTTCACAGTCAAACCAAATTAAATATATGTCCTCCTGCTAGTAGTTTCATTTGGTTCCTTTGGCAGTCTTAATGAAATATTATCTCAACTAAAACCAAAGAAATCTGTATTTTCTATTTAAAATTCAAGGTGGTTCTACTGACAGTCATGAAACATTGATACTAATATAAAGTGAATTGAGTATTAAGTGTGTGACAATATAAGGGTACAGCACTTACTGTCATTGTCTGTGCTTTCTTTACTTTTCATTTCACTTTCATATTATATAAAATGCCATTGTCATATATAGGCTGTTATCAAAATTTCTTGTCTGGATGAGAGTTGATAGTTAATGGTTATTTTCTCCACTTTGAAAGGCAGAAGGACATCCTGATGGTAATTGACTTTCTAAAGGTGTACTGCAATGCTCAGTGAAGCAGTTGTGTTCGATTAAGTAGGCTGGAACAGGAAAATAATTTCAGCTAACAGCTCTATGCCAGAGTAGTCAAATGCCTGGAAAAATGAGGTAGCAACAAATACCTCTAAACAAGAGTATCAGCCATTTTACCAGAAGAAATTAACTGTGGAAACAGAATTGAAAGGCCTGTTGTGCTCCCTAGGGATAAAATGTTTGTGCAAATAGAAAATACTCAAAGCATGAGTATGATTTCTCCTCCTATTATTTCTCTCCAAGCATTAACATTAACAATTTTCTCTCTATGAGTTTCATGTTGTTCTTAAACTTATTCAAATACAGTTTCTTTAAGAAATACTAATAAATATTTTCTTTCTCATCAACATGCTGCTTAAATATTTTACTTACTTCTTTCCTTCAGAAGTACATTCAGCATGAATACCTCCTTACCCTGACTTAAGTTATTCATTCATTAAATGTAAGTGGGAATACAGATCTGTAGAGCTAAACTACAGCATGGAACACACTCTAAGAATCATCTCTATCTTTGATTTCCAACAGCCCCCAAGGCATTCTCCAATAAAATGGTGGTGGGGAAGTCAAAGTGTCTCTTGCTTCTTAGATACGATGGCTCTTCAAGTTACTCTAGCATATCAAGAGACAGTACAGTTATTGCTATGTAAATTAATCTGTTTTTCTTCTAAATTTTCCCTAAACATTTTTTGAGTACTTGAATTCTTTTTGTATCTTTTTGTTATATGCATCTTTGTTCCATGCATTTTTGTTTTTCTGTCCTCTCTGCTGGGTCAGACTGTCTTACATGGTCATGGTAAAGCAAACCGCATCTGTACTATCAGCCTGTAAATTCCTTTTCATCTGTGAAATACCAGAGAAGACATAATGGCTGCAATAGCCATGAGAAGAGTTAGCCAAGGAAATTGAATAGAAATAGTTTCAGCACAGCCTCTTGGATTCCTCCACTAGCAGGATCTAAACTGTCCCACTGCCTAACTGGCAGTGCTAGAGTCATAATCTGTCATGGATGGAAAGGCAGAGAAGCTTAGTGTGAATACCTACCGTAGTGGGCTCACATGAGAGAAGCAAGTGTTTTTGAAACCATTTGATAGGTGAGGTTTCATATATTCTGACACTCACTGACATTCTCCCACTTTATTGCCCAAGTTCTCATTTTATGAGTCTCTAAGGGCAGCTGAAGAAAATTGTTTAAACTCCTTTCTTATGGATAATTTCAATTAAAAAATCAGAGGCTAGTTTGGTCAAAAAGAGGCCTGGACATCTTAGGTTGAGCAAACAAATCTGTAGAGACTTTCCTTAACTTTTTCATTCATCTTTCTGTGGTTTAGTGTCTGCCTCCAAATGGAGAAGATTATACATATTCTCAGAGGGACATTATGAAGATCAATTAATGTCTGCAAAGTTCTTGCATTGCAATAAGATCTAGAAAGAAGGGATATATATATATATA